TCGGTAGTAAAAGAGGTCATATTGTTACAGAATTGTTTCTAGCATATCCTACCTTCATGCATTGAAGTACTACCCTGATTAACATCTAAGACCGGAAACACAGAGATGTGCAGATGGTCCGCAGACGGGCTCAAACAAATAGGTCATAAGGACTTCATTGAGCTGAAGTCTACCAGTGCCATCTGGTAGCATCTGCCGTAACAGGTGGGGTATCTATTCAATCAGAAATGAACGCACACTGAGGCCTTGGATCTCCATCTAGAGCTTATCTGCTACATGGAAGCAATGGGTGGCTGTGACTTGTATAGAAAGACGGTCAGCTGTGACCTTACACCTACAAGAAAGCGAAGATCTGCTCTGAGTTTCCTATTCAACGTTTAGTAAAGCCCTGGCGTATAAGACTAAGCCCTACCTGGCTCTTGATCGAAGCACCCTGGTCAGCTAATCTCCCAGAATCGCTTATCCAGTTGGTACGCTGGCTTCTCTTGCGGTTCGGTCGTACTTCCCGATTACAACCCACCATTGGTTGAATGACTCTTTCAATTACGATTACGGCTAGTCGAAGTTGTCATCAAGAGTGTCTACGCAAAAAACTGGGAAGCTGTTCAAGAGATCAGAAACGCCTAGCAGCCTTACGGCCTCTCCTTGATATGCCGACGTGCTTCTCTTTGTTGATTCGGCGTCTACGGTCCTTGTGCCTTCCTGATGAGCTGTGGAGCGCGCGCGCACTGCGCATGTGGTGGTGGCTCATAAATAATATATGTACCCCTTTCAGTTAACTACTAAACTGAGAACACTGCTCAAGAGGGCGCCAGACCGGTATGTGTGTGTGCGTGCGTACGTCAGAACAGGTGCACGATTTTGGTACCTTTTCGACACCCCAAACAGCCACCCACCTACCGCAGGAAGCCGATAGTTGCGTTGTTAGAGCGTCCCCGGGTCTCCATCGCCTCTCAGCCTGTGTGCCTGTGCAGGCGTGCAAGCGGGGTTTGTGTCCCAAATCGCGTTCGTGCTGTAGTGGGACGGGGGGAGGGTAAGGGCACCCGAACTCGCAGCTCTGTGCTGCAGGTACGGCGGCGAACCCTTTGAAGATGGCTTGCGAAGGAGGGGGGCGGACAAGTTGCTGTCATTCGCGTTGATCATAATCCTGTAAAGGTCTCTGTCCTCCTGTGCCCCCACCCCCACCCCCGGGGTCCCTACCCAGCACCTCTGTGCTGGGGTACTCCCCCCGCCGACTGCGGCCTGACTACTGTTGCCGCGACCTCTAATATTTCTCTCCTTGGCTTTGACGCCCGTCCGTGCAATTAGACCGCAGGTACTGCGGAGTTTTGGATAATTAACGGACAGAGCATCCCTAGCCCTTCGTTCCTTCCCCCCTCCCCCGCGGGCCCACCGGAATGCCCACGCGATTTGTTCTGCTGGCGGAATGTGACCCAGTTGCCAGGGCCTCTATTGTGCAATACAGCACACGGAGGCAGATAAAGTACAAACTCTGCGTCCTGGCAGCCTTTCCGCATACTCATTACCGGACTTTGGTTTACAACCGCCACTGTCTTTGTTGTCTTCCCTACTCAAGTTATGCTGGTGGTGGTGGCGGTGGTGGTGATCGTGGTGGTAGTGGTGTTGGCGGTGGTGGTCAAGACAGCGGCAGCCAAACTGTGAAGACCTAGGTCATCGTCGTTTCACGGACAGCGAAAATATCTCAATTGGTGACAACTACCTTCACGTTAAAAGGGACCGGTCAGTTTCCTTTTTCAAGCAGCGCCTTAAGGTGTCGTTCAATCAGTTTCTGAGGGAGGTAGGAGGGGGGGGTGCTTTGTCGTCAGCTCCATGCTTTCCCTCAAAGAACTGCTCCTGAGATCGAACTGCTGCATTTATTCATCTGTATTTCTTTTCAGACACGGACTTCGGTGCATCGAAACACCCTCGCACTTTTGGTAAAAGCTGTTCGAATCAACGTCATCGAGGAAGCCACTTTATCAGACGATTCGCACACTGCATCATCATCATCATCATCATCATCATCATCATCATCATCATCATCATCATCATCATCATCATCATCATCATCATCATCATCATCATCATCATCATCATCATCATCATCATCATCATCATCATCATCATCATCATCATCATCATCATCATCATCATCAGCAGCAGCAGCAGCAGCAGCAGCAGCATCATCATCAATCGGCGGCACCTGTGTCACAGTTATGCCATGAATACGCGCCGTTTCGAGTCCAGCAGGACCCGTCGTTGGTAAAACACACTATGGCAGTTAACCCTTGTTTTCAGAACACCCCTCTACCATTGTATATATCCGATCGCAACCGACAGGATAACGAGTCCGTGACTCAGTGTTTAGGGGCGTTGGAATTGAAACCAACAGGTCGCGGGACCGAGCCCCAGGTGTCTTACACTTCGGGATTGGGCATGACTGACTGACGACGGCTAATGAGCTAGAAATTGCCATTCCAGTCTCCCTTGTCTTTTCGGT